TTCCACCCCCTCCTCCTCCCCTTGCTCCTCTTCCTCCTCCCCCTCCCCTCCTCCTCTTACTCCTCCCCATCCTCCTTCTCCTTCCACCCTCCCATTCCCCCTCCCAACCCCCTCCAGCCTTCGGTTTCCAGGAGCATCCGGGACCAGGGTCACACAAGGAGGTGGAGAAGAGGGAGGAGGAGAGAGAAGAGGAGAAGGGAGGAATGAAGAAAAAGTGTTCAAAAAGAAGGGGAAATAGGGAGAAGGGAGAGGCAAAGAAGAGGGAGAAAGAGAAAGGTTTAGCGTAAGAGGAGACAAACAGGAGAAAGAGAGAAGATAGAGACCGAGAGGAAGAAGACAGACAGAGAGAGAGAAAGAGAAACAGAGTGAGAGGAATAAGAGTAAGAGGGCACAGAGGAGGGGGGATTAAAATATGGAATAAGAGAAAGTGAGAATAAGTGAGAGAGAGAGAGAGAGACTAAGCGAGAGGTGCGGTGCTTGGAGCAACCGGAGGCGGACCTGGCCTGGCCGACGTCAGCCTCCAAAAGCACGAACTCAATGCAAAAAAAAAGTCTTTTTCACTTCTCTTCGATAATCTTCTCCTTCTCCTTCCGCCCATGTCGTCTTCATCTTCTCTATCTCCTCCGAAAGCACTGGTATAACGAAGTGTCTAGATCAAACTAACAACTGGAGCAGTAATAATGATTTGTTGATTTTATTGTCGATTTTCCCTTCCTAGAGAAGCCTGCTCTCCGTCGGAAGACACCCCCCCCCCCCACACACTCACACTCCCAGTTGCAGCTCAAAGTCGCGCCTTTGTTGCTCCAGAAGCACTTCCTCGGATGCCACAGAAAATGTCTAATTAGAGGAAGGCGATGGCAAGGAGAGTGATGGGGATTCCGAGTAAAACGACTGCAATCATGGTAATGACAATAATGACAGTGACAATATGGATAATAGTAAAGTTTTTAATGATGGTGATGGTGACAACAACAATGATAACAGTGTCACTAATAATCATAGTAATGATAATAATGATAAAAATAAAAACAACAATACTAGTACTACTACTTCTGCTAATGGTTATCATGATTAGTACTTTTATTGCTATTATTGATATGAACATCATCATCATTATTATCATTAGTATTAGTATTGGTAGTTGTATATCTTTTATTGCTAGTATCATTACCATTGCCATCATTATTAACATTACTATTATTGTCATATTTATTATTATGCTTATTGCAATTACTATTGTATGTGTTATCATTATTATTATTATTGTTATTACAATTATCATTATTATCATTATTATTATCATTATTATCATTATTATTATCATTATTATTATCATTATCATTATTAGTGTTATTATCATTATCATTATTATATTATCTATTATTATTATCATTATCATTATTATTATCAATATCATCATTATCATCATCATTATTTTTGTTAATGTTGTTGTTAATATCATCACCATCATTACTATTGTTATAATTGTTACCGTTATCATTATTAATATCATCATCATTATCTTTATCTTAACTATTACCATCATCATGATCATCATTATCATAATCATTATTATTATCATTATTATTATCATTATTATTATTATCATCATCATTATCATCACCCTCATTACCATGCCTATCATCTCTATCATTTTATCACCAGTATCAGTAGTAGTACCTTCATCATTATCCCTATTATCATCATTTCTGACGATAAGGTTTGTTGTCATTACCATTATCATCGTCATCATTAGGTCACATCAATCTCATCAGAAGAAGCAATAATAGCAGTATTGTTGTTGTACATGTACAGGGGGGGGGGGGAGGTAAAGCTGTAACATTATAACCAAAAACTGCTCTGTTGTAAAAAGGAGTTGAAGAAGGAGGAACAGAAGAAAAGTTAATGATGATAATGACCATGATAAAGAAGGAGGAGGAGGAGGAGGAGTAGAAAAAGAACGTAGAGGAGGAGTAAAAGAGGAGGGGAAAAGAAGATAGGGAGGAGGAAGAGGAAGAAGGGAAGGGATATAAAGTTGGCTAAAGAGGAAGGGGAAATAAGGAAGTTAGGATAAAGGGAAGTAAGATGCGAGCACGAGGCGGAGGGGAGACGGGGAAGGGGGGGGGGTGGGGGTGGGGGGGTAAGTGCTACTCTGCCCTGACTACGCGGAGCAAGTTTGGCTGGGCAAGAGGGGGGGGGGGGCGGGGGCGGGGGGGGGTAGGGCCAGAACCCGGGTTGTGGGCAGTTGAGATTTTTTATTCTCCTTTTTCTTATTCTCTTTTCGGGTGGACGTCATCGCCATTCGCCTCGTCTCTGCTTCTTTCTCTCTTTCCTTTCTTATTTCTTTCTCTCACTCCCCCTCTCTTTCTCTCTCTCTCTCTCTCTCTCTCTCTCTCTCTCTCCTCTCTCTCTCTCTCTTCTCTCTCTCTCATCTCTCTCTCTCTCTCTGTCCTTCTCCTCTCTTTCTCTCTCATCTCTCTCTCTCTCTCTCTCTCGTCTCGTCTCTCTCTTCTCTCTTCTCGTATCTCTTCAATCGTGCGTTCTCTTCTTCTCATCTCTTTAATTTCATCTCTCTCTCTCGTGCTTCGTGCGTTCTCTCTTTTTTTTCTCTCTCTCTATCCGCTTCTACCCTCCTGTCCCGCCACTCTCTTTCCCGTCTCTCTCTTATCATCTTCTCTCCTCTCTTCCCACGACTCTTCTTAGTCTCTCCTTAGCCTCGGCTGTTCTCTCTCCCTCTCTCTCTCTCTCTTCATCTCTCTCATTAAGCTATCTGCTGTCGTTGTCTCTTTTTTTTCTCTTCTTTCCTTCTATCTCTCTCCCNAATGCCGGCACAGACGAAGAAAATTTGAAAAAAAGGAAAAAAAATAATACAACACTCATAACGTAATATCAACCATAATCACAGACGAAGAAAATTTTGAAAAAAAAAAGGAAAAAAAAAAAAAAAACTCAACGAAACTGACGTAAAATCTCACTGAATAAACATGCAAGCAGACCGTGCGATCGCTAATATATTCATTGGCTTGGTCTCCGTTGACTGACAAAGGAGAGAAGCTATCGTTAACAGCAAGCGGGAATGGGGGGGGGGGGGGAGGGGGGGAGCATTTAGTGAAATTCTCACACGTGGCGCAAAGTTTGCTTCTTCGCTAATATGTTTTAGTTGGTTTGTGGTGTTTTAATTTTTTTTTTATTATTATTTTTTGTTGTTATTTTTATCAGGATTAGTATTGTTATTATTATTGTTGTTGTTATTATTACTATTATTATCATCAGTAGTAGTAGGTGTAGTAATAGTAGTATCAGTATTATTATTATTACACTTATTATCATCACTATTATGATTATCATCAGCAACATCATCAGTGATATTAGCAATATCATCATTATCATTATTATTGATATCTTTGTTATCATTATCAATATTATCATCATTATTATCCTTACTATTTTTGTTTGTTTATCTAGGAACCGAGCAGAGAGGGCACAAGCGACTTATTTTTATTTCTATTGTTTTGTTTCGCACACGCACAACACGCACACACACACACACACACACGCACACACACACACACACACACACACACACACACACCCTACTCTATCATCTATCGAATACTTTTACCTACCATTACTCCTTTTCTTCCCATTTCTCTTCTTCCCCTCCTACCATTTCCCCTCTTCTTCCCTTATTCCATCTCCCTCCACCTCAGCGCCGGCCAGCAATCCCTATTTCTCACAGATGCAAATGTCTCCTATTCAGTACGCCTTTAATCTCCCGCGTCGACCATTACTACTTTTATAACTACCTCGTAAATCTGACTGCTGTGTCTTGTAGGGTCAGTCAACACGGGCTTCTCCTACAGCGTCCCCAGAGGTCCTTCTCTATCCTAGGGCCTTGTTCTCGCGTCCTGAGGTGGTTGAGGGGGCGTCCTACCTGTTATCTTCCCGTTCTTGTAGTCTGTCCTGTTCGCCCTGTCGTTGCATGCAGTCTGTTCTGTCTTCTGTCTTTTTTGAACGTGTCTATATCCCTCTGGGCGTAGATGTAGTGTCTTGTCCTCTCACTCTATTCTCACTGTCTGCCATACCTCCCCTCTCCTTATTTCTGTGCAGTTTATTCTGTCCTCTCTCCATCTCCCCTCTCTCTAAATAAATATTCTTTGTCCTCTCTTTCTATACTTCCGTAGTCTCCATTGTCTTTTGGATTTATATGGAGTTTCCATTGTCCTATCTCTATATACAGTTTTCCATGTACTCTCTATGTCTATAGTTTATTCCCACGTCATCTCTCATTATATGCAGATTATTTTGTCTTGTCTCAACACATAAACAAACATTTGTTTCTCCCTTCCTGTGTAGTTTTCTTTATCACCTCTCTCTCTATATATAGGCGGTTTATTCTGTTCTTCTCTTTTATATACCTCGTTTCCTATCTTATATCTTTATTTGGGCAGTTTCCTGTGTTATCACTTTCATCATGCATAGTTTATTATGTTCCTTCTTATCCAGAAATTTCTCTGTGTTCATCCTTTTACATGAAGTTCCCAAAGTCCTATCTTTATGTATGCTGATTACAATGTCTTTTCTCTCATTTTATGTAATTTATTTTGTCCCCATTCTCTCATAATATATATACAAATTTTCTTGTATTCTCTCTATGAAGTTCCCTATATCATATCTCACTATTTACTGCACACACACATACACACTTTCCTAAGTATTTTTGTTCATATACAGTTTCCCCTGTCTTCCTATATATGCAGTACCCTATATACCTTCGAAATATGCATTTTATTTCTCTCTCTCTCTGTCTGTCTGTCTGTCTTGTCTGTCTGTCCTCTCTGTCTCTGTCTCTCTCTCTCTCTCTCTCTCTCTCTCTCTCTCTCTCTCTCTCTCTCTCTACAAATTCATCTATCAATTTAATTACCTCTGCCGCCGCACTCTCTCTATCCTTACAACAGGAGCGTGGACATAACATTAATTCTCGGGGAATAATGTGAGATTTACATAGCTACATCGTAAAGTATAGGTCTGTGCACGTTAAGAAGGGATAATGGGAATGTATAGACCTTTTTGTAGTACTTATTTATAATGGGTATTTGTAGCCTCAGGGAAAAGCATGTCGGAGGGAGATGGATAAAAAAACACGGATATTAATATTTAACAAGTAAAGGGTACATGTACAAGGTGCGTAGACTTAATTATATACATAATGGGAAAGGTAATTAAAGCTCCCTTTCTGACAGATTCACTCAAAGGCGAGACATCTTACCATAAACTTACTTTGTGTAAATATCTTTTCCTGTCCTTCCGTCTTGCACTAATTAAGTTACAAAATTATTAGATTTCTTTTGTAAAGGGGAGGAGGGAGGGGATGATGATACTTACAGCAACTGCAAGTCACGAATGAGCGACACAGCTGGCGGGATAGTAATGAAGAAGTTGTCCTCGAGAGACAGCTCCGCCAGGGTGTCCGGCAGCGACCCAGCCACCAATCCTACCAGCTGGTTGTTGTCAAGGTATCTACGGAAGGAGGAGAAGGAGGCTACTCTACCACAGGCACTTGATTTATCCACGGAAGGCGGCGATGATGAAACATCTTTTTTTTTTAAACCTGCTTGGACTGCAGGTTGGGAAGGAAGGGTGGAAATGCACAGGAATGGGAAGGATTCTGGACTGCAGGAGGCATGCCGAGAGAGGGCGGGGGCGGGCGGGGATGCCGGGATGAGGGAGGGATGGGCATGCCTAGATAGGGGGGGAAAGTGGGTATGCAGGAAAGGGGTATGTCCGACAGGGTAGGTCTTGGCATGCCTCAATGTGGGAGGTGATATATCTAACGAGGGGAGGTAGGGTATGAATGAATGGGTAAGGGGGGGTGGCATGCCTGAATGGGGGGAGGGCGTGGGCATCCTTAATTAAAGAGGAAGGGGCGTAGCGGCTGCTGGAACATTAACCGGGGGAGAGAAGTAACACGACCGGTGGGAAATTTTGTTAAGACCTATTCCACGTTTTATGGTTTCACTTCTTAACTAGGTATTTTCAGTCTTATAGTATACTTTATGATTATATAAGCATTCAGCTAATTATCCATATACATTTTTATACACATAGTTTACCACTGGATCCCAGGCTAATTGTCCGCATATGTGTAAGCGCTGTGATGCAACACATATCGTCATACAGGTGTTAAAACAGCTAATTAGGCACAGGTGTGTATGTCAATGACCTGTACGAGAACAAACGCAATAAAATATGTCCATGCACGAAGAAAGACAGCGATGGGAATGACTTTTTCCTGCATTTGCAAGCTCCATCTATACTCACAGATTTTGCAACTTCACACCCTCGAAAGCCTGGGGTGACACGGAGGAGATCCTGTTTCCAGAGAGCCTCCTGGAAAGGCAAGGAAGCAGCTGTCAGGAAATCGTGACCGCGTCGGTGGTGGTCTCAGTATTTACTCTGACCTAAAACTGTGGCACATATTTGTAGCGTTGAAGGAAAGTGATGGAATTCAGAAATGTCTCGGACACGTTTACGGATTTCTCGTCTCTCGTCTCTCGTCTTTCTCTTCTCTTTTCTTTCTTTCTTTCTTTCTTTTTCTTTCTCTCTCTCTCTCTTCTCGCTTCTCTCTCGTCTCTCTCTTCTCTCTCTCTCTCTTCTCTCTCCTCTCTCTCTCCCTCTCTCTTTGTTTGTTTGTTTGTTGTTGTTTGTCCTCTCTCTTCTCTCTCTCCTCTCTCTCTCTCTCTCTCTCCTCTCTCTCTCTCTCTCTCTCTCTCCTCTCTCTCTCTCTCTCTCTCTCTCTCGTCTCTCTCTCTCTCTCCGGCCACCCTATATCCTCCCCTCCTTCCTATCACCATCTATTCTCTCCCGTCTCTCAATATATCCATCTTCTTCATCACTCCTCCCTCTCACCCATCGACCTCAAAGGACTCTAAGGATATATTTTCTTCTTTGAAATATCCAGAAATATAATATTATATAATTCAAATAAACGTCATATTTTCTTCATCCTTACCCTATTCTCCTGGCGATATTCACTCTCTCTCTCTCTCTCTCTCTCTCTCTCTTCTCTCTCATCTCTCTCTCTCTCTCTCTCTCGCACTTTACCATTTCCTCACTTCTATATACAAACACACTCTCCCCTCTCTTTCTCCCGCTCACTCTTCCCTCACTCCCTCCCTCTCACTCTTCCCTCATCCCTCCCTCTCACTCCCTTCCTCTCTCATCTTCTCTTCGCCTCACTCCCTCTCTCTTCCTCTCACTTCCTCTTACTCTCCCTCACTGCCTCTCACTCTTTCCTCACTCTCCCTCTCACTCTTTCCTCACTTCCTCTCTCTACTCACTCCTCACCTCTCACTCTTCCCTCACTCCCTCCCTCTCACTCATTCCGCATCACTCCCTCCCTCGTCTCACGTCACTCTCTTGCCCTCCCTCTTCACTCTTCCCTCACTCCCTCCCTCTCCCTTCCTCTCACTCCACTCCCTTCACTCCCTCTCATCCTCCTTCCTCTCACTCTTTCACTCACTCCCTTTCCTCTCACTCTTTCCTCCCTCTCCTCTCACTCTTCCTTCTCCAATATAAACCCAGTCTCTCTTTATTTTTCTTTTTTTCCTATTTATTCGCCTACAAATATCCCCGACCATCCACACATTATATGAATACATTAAAAGGAATACTCACAGGTACTGAAGCGACGGGTATGCGGCGAAGGCATTGTCAGGCACGCTGGTCAGGTTGTTGTTGCTCAGGTCCCTAGACGAATAAAAGAAAAGAAGAAAAAGGAATAATAATGGATATGATTCTGATAATAGAGACACTAGTAAACACCATAATGTCAGATAATAGAGACACCAGGAAACACCAGATTTTTGTTGTCTACATTGGTGTAAAAAGTATGAATGATAAGGATATAATTCAATGATATATACACCAGGAAACACCAGTTTTTTTGTCTCATGGCATCAAAAGAGTATAAATAATGATGAATATATTTCAGATAACATATACACCAGGAAAACCAGCTTTTGTTGTCTCTCATGAAAAAAAGGATGAATAACAATTAATATAATTCTGATAATAGAGACACAGTAACAGTAAAACAATTTTTATTTCTCTCTCTCGTGGCATTTTTTCGGAATTTACATAAATGGATAAAAGGGAAAATGGATAAAACATCAGTCGATTCCTTCCCGACCATGTCCGTCGCCAGAACAGATCCCCCGTCCACGCAGCCCGAATTCCCCGACCGTTTCCGACAGAAAACGACGATCTCTACACCCCCCCCCCACCCCCCCGAGGAAGGGTCGAGGGGGCGGAGGGGTGGGGGGTGGGGTGGGTGGGGGAGAGGGAGACGAGAGGAAGGGATCTAACGGAGGGGATGGGGGGTGGGTGGGGAGAGGGAGACACAGGAAAGGGATCCAACGGAGGGGATAGGGGGGGGGGGGAGAGGGAGAACAAGGAAAGGGATCTAACGTAAACGCGTTGGGAAGAGGTGATAAAGGGGTTGAAACCGACAGTGAGCTTTGGTAAAATCCCTTAATTCTTTCTCTCACTGCGCAACAGATCAGTGACAGGAAAGGGGTCTTGGGTTAAACGCTTTTCTCTATTTCGTTTTTTTTTTTCTCTAGTCCTCCTTTTTTATTTTCTTTTTTCTTCTTTCTTTCATCACCCGTATCTGCTTATGACATTTCTCGAGCGTGGTTTTATTTCTTCTCTTTCTCTCCTCTCTCTCATTTCCTGGGGTTGAAGTGCGCGCTTATTAGAGTTGTATCACGCTGTGATTACCCGAGAGAGAGAAGAGGAGAAGAGGAAGAGAGGAGAGAGGAGAGAGGAGAGAGGAGAAGAGGAGAGAGGAGAGAGGAGAGAGGAGAGAGGAGAGAGGAGAGAGGAGAGAGGAGAGAGGGAGAGAGGAGGAGAGGTAGAGAGGAGAGAAGAGAGAAGAGAGAAGAGAGAAGAGAGAGAGAGAGGAGAGGAGAGAGAACAGAGGAGAGAAGTAGACGGTCACACATCACATTGTTGGGAGTCGTTTACCACAATGACAGTCGGAAGCCTTCACATATTTAGCGAGAGTATTGGCGTACTCGTGTATGGTGTTGCAGGATTAAGTCGACGAGTCGGCTCTAGATGCGTCTATCATGTGTACAGCACCAAAGGTATGACACATCACGCGGGGCCGAAGAAGAGGTCACGATCGTATGAGTGGATGTTGATATGAGATGGTGCGACAACCGATTTGACGAACTGCTGGGACTGCACAAGCTTTGAGATCTCCCTCGTTCTGCGTCTTCACCCAACACACACACACCCAGTCCCTTATCGTGATCGGCATTCTTGGATGTCAGTAGGGGGTGTCGATACTGTATAGATGCATTGGGGGGCTCTTGAATCACGACGATGAGGCATGCGATCTGATGTGCACAAACATACACAAAGGTGATTTTACGCGGAGCTATATCTATTTTAGTTTAGCACGATGATTATCAGATATAAGCATTTGATAAAACTAATTGATTGAGGTGTTATGACGAGCCGATGGTACTCCGTACAGAGAGAGATGAGGATATGAGGAGATAACGGGAAGGGACGAGAGAGAGGAGAGAGATGAGAGAGAGAGAGAGAGAGGAGAGAAGAGGAGGAGAGGAGAGAGATGTAGAGAGAGGAGAAGACAGGAGGGAGACGAGGAGAGAGAGAGGACAGACAGACAGAAAACTGGAACCGATGATCGAAGAGTATATTACAGATTTTGTGCGAGTATGGTGTCTGAATATAACTTTGCGTTCGCCTGTGTGGACGTGTGGAAATGTGTGTTTAGGTTAGATGTTTTATCATGTGAATAGCTTGTTTATAGATAACCATCTAGTGATGAGAGAAATGAAATAAACTGGTTTGGTGAGTGGTTGTTGGGGATGTGACTGTGTTGGTATGATGCTTTCCATAATAGAGCCAGTTTTATTTGAATAGTAGTTCTATGGAAGGTATCCAATGATCGGGTGCTGATTGTGTGTGAATGTCGAGCATGAATAATTATCTTGTTGTTTTGTATTTTTTTTTTTTTTTTTTTTGTTGATTTTTTTCGTTTTTTTGCTGTATGTTTTTTTTTTTTTTTTTTTTATGTTTTTTTGTTTTTTTTTTTGTTTGTTTTATGTTTTTTTAAGCGGGTTCTGACAATGTTAAATGATCGTTTGAGGAGAGGTGAGACTTTCACCATCCGGCGGATCGCAAGAGCAGGTGTAGGTAAGAGTGGAGTGAGACCCATTTGCAGCCGACGGATATTCTGGGTCGGAGGGGGGGGGGTGTGTTGTGCGAGGTAGCGGTGTGTGGGCGGTGCGGATGTGCAGCGGGACTGTGACATAGGGCAGGTGGTGGAGTGGGTCTGCGTGTGTTGCTGGCGTTGCAGGATCTTGGATCGATT